TTATTTGTAAATATTTATTGAAAATTGTTTAAAGTATTTTAAACATTTATTATTAATTATTAGTATTTGTATTTGCATGTTGTAAGTAGTAAAATCATAGTAATGTAATAAAATATATCTATATATAATATAAAATATTATCTATATAGTTATTTATTAGTTATTATTATAATAGTTATTTATTGTATATATATAATTTAATATATCACATAGACAACAACTATTTGAATCAAAACATAAGCTTTTAACAAGTGTATTTGTTATTATTTTAATTTTCATTTTGATTTAAATATTAGCAAATCTGTTAATTCAACTTTTACTAAAGGTTACAAAGTTTTATTGATTCAAAAGTTAAATTTGCATGATTGCTATATTGTTAGTAAGACTAAGATTTTTACTGTTGTTCATTTATTATCAAAAACAGATAACTCTTAATTGCCAATAAGTAAAAGATAGCATTATTTCAAATAAATATTATAGGTTCATTCTATCTTTCAAAAAACCAAAATTTTCATACATTCCATTATCTTTATGTTGAGATTTTAAATAAGTTTTAATTCGTTTTTTAAAATCTAAGGTTAAATTCAAAAAGTCTTTAACTTATGTAAATGTTTGAAAATAGATAATTTTTTCACATAAACAAGTGACAAAGAGAAAGGTTTATTTGATCTGCAACTTGGTAGATTCATATATAGTAATAAAGTTTAGCTTTAGAACATATAGTAATAAAGTTTAGCTTTAGATTGTCTTGCACAATCACTGGTCCTTAATCCCATTGAACATTTATGGGAAATATTGGACTGAAAAATCAGATCATTTTCCGAAAAAAAGAATCTCAAAATGGCAATTGAAGAAACCTGAAAAAAGATTCAACCAGAAGAAACAAAATCTTTAGTCGAATCGATGCCTAATTGTTTAGAAGCTGTAATCCAAGCAAATCATAATTACTTTGTTATTTAATAATTTATTATGAAACAAAAAATGTGCGATCAAAATTATTTTTTTAAAATAAAAACAATTTAAGTTCCTCTATTTTAAGACTGAAAACTTTGTGATTAATATTTTGCACTAAAATAAATAAAATCTACTTAAAAAACATGTTTTTTTTATTGTTATTTTATTTTTATTGTTAAAAAGTATTAAGTTACAAAAATTTTAGGAAAAATTGTTTGTTTGGATATTTTTTTGAGACACTGACTATATATATATATATATATATATATATATATATATATATATATATATATATATATATATATATATATATATATATATATATATATATATATATATATATATATATATATATATATATATATATATATATATATATATATATATATATATATATATATATATATATATATATATATATATTATGGCCTACTATAGTGACAGGCGGAGTAAACGTACGGCTTTTTTAAATTTTATGAAGCATACAGCTTTTTTGTTTAACTTCTAACAAACAATGATTTATATGTAAGTCATAAATAAAGATTTTCGTAATAATTAAATGAATTTAATCTCCAAAATGAAAAAAAAAATTGTATAATAAATGCACATTTCATTAGGTATAATATAGTAAAAATTCACATTTTATTGTGCAAAAAACTCTAAAATCTATATAATAAAATAACTTTTTAAAATAAAACTACAATTAGTCAAATTTCATTTCGGGTTCCTTTGAAGATCACGGGGTATAGAGATAACAATAGTTGTTAAAAACAGGGTTGGAAAAAACCTAGGGTTTTTTAAAAAAACCCAACCCAAATGGCTTTTTTTGGGTTTTATTGGTTTTTTTTGGGTTTTATGGGGTTTTTGGGTTTTTTTAAAAACCGACCAAAATACCAAATTTTTATAATTGTATGAGTACAATAATTTTTTTTTTTAATTTCATAAATTCACCTCCCTATTGCTCCAATGACCACTTCAATCAAGGGAGTAACTCATTTTTTAAAAATATTTTGTCTCAATCCTTAACATTACCATTTTTACTAACAAACTTTTTAAACAAAGCGCCTTTGTTTAAAAAAAATGTTAAACATATCATTTCAAAAACTATTTTGCACAAGTTTACAACATGTAATCAACAAGTTTGCAACATGATGTTGCAACCTTGTAAGTTAATTTCAATCAGGATGACTATGAAAACTTTTTAAACATTTTTGCATCATAGAAGAAAACTGTTAGCCTAATCACTACACTTTTTTTTATCAGAACATTATACTGTCCAGCTTCCTGGAAAAGTTATCGGCCTGATCAGCTGGACTTAGGCAAAAAATGGATTTTTGCCTAAATTTTGGTTGTTCTTAAAATATTTAAAATGAATTTGTTAAGAACCATTACAGTGTCTTCGCCACCAGGTTCTTTTTTTTTCCTTGAAGATGTTTTACCGGCTCAGTTTTGCAACTGAATCAAAGTAACACATTATATAGCTCTATTGTGTGTGTTTCTTCACCTTTTAGCAACTTGATACTGATGTTGCAAACTTGCTTGCGCATAACTTAATTTTTTTTAAGTTTTAAAGTTGTATGCACTTAATAAGGACAAATCTAGTAAACTGTAGCATTTTTTTTTGCCTGACAACTTACCATTTCTAAACTGTAAATAAAGTTTAATAATTTTTATATATAGTATTTTGCTTGTAGCTTTGTACTGAAATTTGCAGTTTACAACATAAGCTTTAAAAAATAAAAAATCAAATACCAATATAAAATGACATATATAAAACGCTTGTTTGGACATTCCAGAGGAGAATAAAAATACTAAATAACTAGTAATGTCTTGTACTTTGAAATTTAGTTAATAGAATGATTTTTATTTCCTTTATAAGTATTTAACTAATTTAATGTTTTAATACATATTTCAATAACATTTATAATAACTTGCTATATGTTTTAAAAAAATAATAAATAACCAACTTGCTACAAAAACAGATTGATCGGTTTTGGATGTATTCTAAATACCATTATGTATATAAATACAGTGTTTACAAGAGTAATTACAGTATAAAGGTTGCACTTGCTGATAATAAAGCATTTATAAGTGTTAAAATCAGAGTTTTAAAAAAACCCAAATATATTTTGGGTTTTTTTGTTTTTTTTTAAGGTGGGTTTTTTTGGGTTGGGTTTTTTTGCCAACCCTGGTTAAAAAATATATTGGCAAAGATTCTACAATGTTTAATTGAAACATTAGTAAATCCATAAAAGTTAGATACCATCAAAAAACAGTTAGATAAGCTAACACAACAAACAAAAGTGTAAAGATGGTGAAATAAAATGTATGAATAAATTATCCAATGGCAAATATATTCTCCAGGCAAATTTAAACCACCACCAATTAATCTCTCTGACATAATCTCCAAACTGCTCAAAACTAAAAGATTGTATCTTCAATTAGAGGATCTTCCCTATTGACATAGCCAGCAATGTAACCCAAAGACATAATTTCTTTAGACAAATTGCTTTCAATGGCTGAATGAAGATTATAAAATACATTGAACAAAATCTCATTTACAATACATAATTACATTTGTCACACAAATGGCTTGATGATACTTCTAAATCATTAGCAGTGATACCAATATTTAGACAAAGTTTTGTTTTATTAATATGGACTTTTTGTAATATTGATCCTTGCTGAAGTTTTCCAAATGCTTTCTCAATAGGGTCACTAGTAAAATGTCCAAGGTAAACATACTTATGACTTGTAGTTAGTAAATATTTTAATTGTTTCAACCATCCCACTACATGTATTGGAAAAAGCACGAGAAGTGTCTTTGGATAAATTTTTTAGTCTATGACCTTGTTTTTCAGGAGCCATTTTTTGGACCATATCAGCCAAATTTAAAAGAAAGTTCAATCGTTTATCATTGTTTGATGAAAAAACAGCACGATATTTATCTCTAGTATAAATATCTTCATAATGTCCTTTAACATTAACAATTTTAAAAAATTTGATAAAAGTAGATAAAAACACTGTGGTGTGTTTAACATTTTTTATGGATGGATGAGTTTTTACAGTCTCATCACAAATTATTGTCACAAAGAATAGCAACAACAGATTCACCACTTTTTTTATCGTTTCAATTATTTGCACTGTTTGATCATATTGCAAATTACCATTTAAATCTGTAATGGTAATGCTTTATACAAAAACTGTTTTCTACCAAATAAAGGACAAATCATTAAACCCAAAACTGTTTTGCTAACTCATTTGGGGAATTTACAGATTTAATAAATATGTTACCTCCTTGATATGTTAACTGTAGTTTAACATAAATTTCATCAATTAGTAGAATAACCTGTCTTTGAGATATAGAACATTTTTCAAAATACAACTTTAAAAAATCATTATTTCCAACATTTCTAACTTTAAATGTCAACTTTGTCATCAAAGATATACTTGGTAGTTCATAGTCATCACGTAAGAGTAAAGTGAAATAGTATGAAAATAGTATATAGTAATAGTATGAAAAGTACTCAAATGTCCTAGCAGTCGTATCAGGAGAATACTTTTTTTCACCAATAAACATTAATGAGTTCATACTTAACATCTGTTTAATAATAATATTTTTTTTGTGATCGATTGGTAAAGAATGCAGATAATGTATTGCAGCATGGAGACGGCTAATGCAGTCAATAATATTCATATGATTGTAAGAAAAAAGTTTTATGGTATACTTAACACCACAGTGATAGCTATCAAAGGATAAATTTTTTTATTTTCAAAATAAACTTTTGAACACCCAAGATCTCTAATATATCAACAGATTGAAGATGTAAACAGTTTTTATTGAAACTTTATATTATTGAGTAGGAAAAAAGATAAAGTTTTAGGCATTATTTTATTACACAAATCTTCAATATATATGCAATCTTTGAAATATATATATATATATATATATATATATATATATATATATATATATATATATATATATATATATATATATATATATATGGATAGATAGATAAATATATAGATTTAAACATATTTAGTATGCAATGGTTCATACTGGGGAAACAATTGCAAGATGTCTTGTCAATGCTTAAACAATGCTCATTGTGATTCACGAACTGGCCATTGCAGATGTGCACGCGGCTATTATGGAAAAATTTGTGAACATGGTAACAATTTTAATTCAAAAGATTTAAGGTTTATTTAAGTTTTGTTAAAAAAGTTTTTAGTTTCAATATTAAGTTTAAGCAAAAATATATTAAATGTTTTGAATTTTGGTTTCAAATTTTTAAAGCTCATTCAACACAAAGTATGCTAATTTGTATTATTTTAATTTTAGATTTAATATTTAAAATTTCTTTAGATAAGTATTTTTAACAAAAAAAGTTAACAATAATAATTTTATATAGAATATAAATATATAATATATATATATATATATATATATATATATATATATATATATATATATATATATATATATATATATATATATATATATATATATATATAATATATATATATAATATATATATATATATAATATATATATATATATATATATAATATATATACATATATATATGTATATATATATAATATATATAATGTATATATATATAATATATATACAAACAAAGGTCTGATATGTATATATCTTTGTATGTATATAATATATATACATACAAAGGTCTTACCATAAAACATAAAAACGAGGTCGGCAATTTTTTGCCAATCTCAAACACTTTCAGGTCGGCAGTTAGGTCGACACTAATTCCGAGGGTTGTATATATATATATATATATATATATATATATATATATATATATATATATATATATATATATATATATATTATATATATATATATATATATATATATATATATATATATGTATATATATATATATAATAAAATAATCTATGTAATATAAAATTCTTCTCTCTACTCTGGCTTTCTCTCTAAATGCTCAGTTAATTGAGAAGGGTTTACCCAAAAAGTTACAAAATTTTGAACAAATAATTTTTCCATTGATTTTGATTATATAAATATAATAAGAGCTTTTAAAATTTTTTTTTTTCCATAATAGTGTTAAAATTCATAATGGTGGAAAAAGTAAGAAAAAATATTAGGGGTTTTTAGAAACATTTTGATACAAAAGTTGATATAGAAGTTTATGATGAGGCTTATATGAGTCTTATGTAAAAACTATATATTAAAGAAATAGAACTTAATATATGAGTAATCAGAATACCAAAATGTTTTTGTTAAAAATATTATTCATTATGGCCTGGCAAGTTGCTCATTGTTTTGTGATTTATTAACAACAAAAAAAGGGGAAAATTATAATATAAATAAAAATATTATAATGATATAAAATACAAAAAACACCAATGATTACATCATACTTCTAAAATTAATACTAATTATTTATTAAGTAAAATAAATAACATTAAAATAAATAATAAGTATTTATTTTAGGCTTGTATTAATTATTTTTTTGAAAATCTGAGCTATGCCATATTGCAAAATAGTTTTTAGCTGCAGTGCAGTGTAAGGTACTGACACATTGCAATACTGTGATGCATCCTCAGGCAACTGAGATGCATTACAGTAGGAAAAAAATGTTTTTTTTTTTTTTATTGTGTGTAGCAAACTTTACAGTTTCATATTTTGCTTCTAAACCTTAGTAGATACTCAGTATCGTATTTCCCTTAGGCTAAATATGGCTTTCGTTTTGGCAAGCTCTTCAAGTCTATAAGTATATAAACAATTATAAGTATATAAACGATTATAAGTATATAAACGATTATAAGTATATAAACATTTTGAGTTAACTAGTTGAGTAGCTGTTGTTATGGATTTGTTAATTGCTGTATTTACTTGGTGATCTGAGTGTTTGATCTACATACCTGAGGTATGTAGATGAAACAGATAAAGATTCTGCTTTATTTTAACTTCACACGAGATAGATTCAATTATAGAACTATTTAATTCAAAATTTATTTCTAGTGATGGAATGTCTTTTCTTATGTTAATCACCACACGTCTACCTTTTTTACTAGTTCAATTTTTATTGTAATGAGTGTAGTAAGGCAAAAATATAACAGATTTTTTATCAAGCCAGGATTCAGGTGTACATATGATATGTGGTTGATTTTGTTTACACAGCATTAATTGAAAATCATCCCATTTGTTATTTAGTAAAATTGCATTTGAATAGAAGCAGTTTAATTTATTAAATGTTTAAATTCTTGAATTAAGTAAGGTTTAGATTTCAAATAGTTTTGATTTCCATCTTTTTAAGTTTGGTTATATGTATTTCCCAATTATATTTTTTTTGTTGTGTTCATTGTAATGTTGCCTCCCATTAGTCCCAAAAACTTTGTGAAAAAGAGCTAAATTTTTTGTGTTTCTGATTTTTCTTAGTTTAATGTTAAATAGTTTAATTTTTAATTTTATTCTTGTTAATATAAACACTTTTGAAGATATTGATTTCTTTTAATTTTTGTGAAATATTAGTTACTAACATTTGAGTATCTATGCTATCAAGTTTAATTAAGATTAGGTCTGAACATCTTACAGGTCCATTAATTTTTTTTGTTAAACAAGTTTTTTTTTTTTTTTTAGTGTATTGTATCCTAAAGTCCCACATCGTGTGGTCTTTGTGCCAAAGTACTATAAGTGACATTTGCTTGTTGACATTTTTTTTAATTCTTTTGTTCATGTGCAATATTGGAAGAATTTTTATTGATATTCACTGTTGATTTGCGTTTAATAATTTTTTTTTTTTTTTTAATGTTTTTCTTGGTCTTCCATTACACAAATAATCTTTTAAATCATATCCACAATGGCATTTCTAATAATATCAATCACTGTTGATTTATCCAATAATAAAACAATTTCACAAAAATACTTTCCCTCTTCATAAACGTTTATGACATCTTAAATTTGGATTTATGTATACCAAGCCATGTTTATTCTTCCACAACCTTCTATAAGCAAGATGTAAACATTCATTTCTTTGTTATTTGTAAATTCTTTTTTATGGAAGTGAACATATGTTATGTATTCAGCACATAATCTGTAAATCTGTAAACAATTATAATAATAAATGTATTCACAATTTTAAATAATACCCCTTTATTATTTTATTTTTTCCCCTAAATTTCATACTTACAATGTTATTATAAAATAATCACTATGGGATGTTAAACATGTTTAAAAGTGATTTTTATATTACATAATTTTTATATTACATAACTTTCTTAAAAATTTCAATACTTTTGACCTATTTTTTGAATTTTTTATTTAAATAACATTTTTTATGATTAACTTTTTTTTTTTTAGAATGTGTTTCCGGTACATTTGGTGATAACTGTTTATCAAACTGCTCTTGTACCCATAGTAGTGCTTGCCATCACATAACTGGAATATGTAATTGTACTCAAGGCTGGCAAGGTGAAACATGTAACCAAAGTATGTACATTTCGAAAAACTATTGTTTTACTTTATCTAAAAACTGATGAAACTGTTTTTATTTTCATGTTTTGCAAAAAATCTCCAAAAGAAAAACTTTTTTTACAAAGATTCTTTTTTTTAATGACCTCCCCCTCCCTTCTATTTATGTATGCATTATTTATTACAATATCAACCCCCCTTTCCCTAACACAAATTTTTCAAAAAACTAAATCAAAAACTTTTAGTTAATTCAACATATCTGTATTACATAACATATAACTAACTTTTTAAAAAAGAGAAACCACATACATATTTGCTACTTTTTACCCACTCCTCCTCCCCCTCCTCCAATTGTAATCAAAATTGGCATTTGATTACAATTGTTTTTAAAATTGACACTTGATTGAAATCAGCATGGAATGAAAATCTCTCCTTACCCCTTGATCTTCTGAGATTTTTTTGCTAGGTGATAATGAAAACAACAACTAAAAATGCAAATTTATTGACATACATTTCTGTAACCTTTAAATCAAGATTGTATGGTATTTGAACTTTAAAAATCATATCAATACATACATACAAATGTTAACAAATTATTATTAGTTTTTTTTGTTGTTGTAATTATACTTTGTTATTTTGAGTTTGTTTTTTTTTAACTAATTTTAGTGTGTAGCAAAGGAAAATACGGACTTGGCTGTTCACAAATTTGTAATTGCATTAATGGTGGTGAGTGCAATCATATATCTGGTTCTTGTCAATGTGTCCAACCTGGATGGAAGGGTGAAAGATGCAGTGAAGGTTCGTTTTTAAAACTTATTTCTTCATATATATTTTTAACATAAAGGAAACTAAAAAGGTTCAGATCATTTTTTTTCTAATTATTTTAAAGATATTAAACATTAAAAAAAAAAAATTATAATGCATACATTTTACATTAATTCAAAAATTTTTTAAATTTATATTTATAAATAAATACTATTTTAAACTTTTATTTTTATCAATAAAAAATGTTTTACACTATTTGTATTTAAGCTTTTAATGGTATTTTTATGATATTATTATTATTATTATTATTTTGTAATAATATTATTTAGCATGATAAAAAAAAAACACTTAAAAAGTGACCTAAAAAAATTTTTCTTATTAATTACTGCAAAATTATTTTATATTTCACTAAGGTGTTTACTTTTTGATTAATTTATTACATATTGTTGAGAGCTTAGGAACTAAAATAAATACAGTCAACTTATATACTCAAATAAAATAATAATATTGAATAGTTTATCTAATAATTTTAATTAAATTAAATTTATTTTATTTACAAATAATGATGCAATTAGAAATCTTTAAATCTTTATTGTATTGTCGTGAATATGTACTAAGTTATTTAATGTACAATGTTAAAGTCATTAATTTATTTATTTTTTTCATTTAAAGAATTTTTTCAACCAATGAGATCTTAATAAATTAGATTTATTAGAGATTTATTAGAGATGTTTACATTTTTATCATTTTACTTTTTTACATATTAATTTGAGTCATTTCACTCATATTATAACTTTTTTTTTCAATCAATATATACAGTGCTTATAGAAAACACAATCATTTTTTTTTTATTTTCTTTAAACCATAATCATACTTGTCTACTTCAAATGAATATAAATTGAAAACTAATTTAATTTCGGACTAATTTTTTTTTCAAATAAAAAGTGAGACCTAATAAAATAATTATAAATGTCAAGTATTTGTTTAATGTAAAAAAAAGTTTAATGACTGCTCTGAAAATTAAGTGAAAATAAGTGTGCAAACGTTTTAACCCACCCATTAAAAAATAATGCAAAAGTATTAGTATTTTTTTTGGCTGGTTTTTTGTTAATTCCTCTCTGATGATTAACAATATTCAATAAAAATGTAAGTATTTATTATAAATTAAAGGGAAGAAAATGTCATTTAAAGTACAGTTAGTTAAAATTTCTAAATTGCAACAACAAAAATATGGGTTTAAAGAACATATCAATTAAAAGAAAGTACAATTTGTTACTTTGTTTCATGAATGAATGAACATAGTTTATGCACAAAAATTGTTTCATCAATCAAGAAATTGGATGTCAGCTCGAAATCAGCAAATGTTGCATTAAAACAACTTTTTTAATAATTTTTCTAAAAAATCTAGATCTGAGATTTTTTATTAGTTAATAAATTAGGAGTAAATGTAGAGCCTATTAGGTAAATAATTTGTTAATAAAAGTGGAATATATTATTGTTTTGTTTTCATCTGTATTCTCTATTAAATTATTCTATTTATTTATTTCTATTATTACTCTTTTAAATGTGTTTTTTTTTTTATATGAATACATAGCACTATAAAAATTGTAACATTTAAAACAACTTTTATCTTAATACCTAAAAATTGTTGAACAGCAATTTATTGATAAATTGTTCATTTTCAATTGTGATTTTAATTAAGGTTGATGTAATACTTTTATAAATACTCTTTTGTGTTATATAAAACATTACTAATCTTGTTTAGTAGAAACTTGAAGTTATATATGAAAGTACAAGTAAATGTTACTGATTGAAAAAAAATTCAAGTAAAAATAAAAAGTAAAAAGATGAAAAATAATCAGTAAAAATGTACTCATAGTAAAAGTTTTCAGCAGTTTTTTTAATTTTTTTTTTTTAATTTGTTTTTTTAAATTTTTTTTAAAAAACTCTAATAAGAAAGATTAAAAATCAAAAAGTCAAAAGTGCACATGTCTAATGTCTTTTTTTTTTTTTTCAATGTTTATTCACCTCCCCAAGGCCATGAAGGCTACTACAATCGAGGAGGCTACTTTAAATGTGGTCACAGCCCTCTCCTAACTCTATAAATCCATCTTCATAAGGGGTTGCCCATAAATTACATCACAATTTTTTACTTTAAATACTATAATATTTTAATTAATCCATTCCAATAAGCCTTTAATATTACTTTGAAAGTGATTATTTGTACGCCCCTGCAAATAAAGCCTTTAATATTACTTTAGATTCACTTATTGTTTTAATGAGTACTAAACTATTCAATTATTGATTTAATGAGTACTACTCTACTCTGTTACAGTCAATAAGTCAAACTACTGTGGAATGTTCAGGAAAGCTTGGAATCAAGTATTTACAGCTGTTAACATTATTTCTGGTTTTCAATTGTGTTTAATATTTCCCTATAATCCGTCTACTGTTCCATCTGAGGCTAAATTCATATGTTCTCAAATTCACTAAATTTAATTTTTTTTTTGTCCTTCAGTTATTAAGGAATGAGAGTTTGTTAGAATCAATTTTATTTTTTCATAAAAAAAAAAAAAAAAAAAAAAAATCTTTAAAAATTTAAAAATCAAAGAGTGCCTTTGTGAATGATCCTGATATTCTTTTAGATCAAAGAAAATTTTTTTAAGTAATAAAACCATAAACATCCTAAGCAAAAGTGTTTTGTTTTCTGTCTCCTGAAGCTATGCAAGCCAAGTTAAATGATCTGAAAAAGGAAGAGGAAATGGTTGAGGAAAAATTGATTAACTATTTAAATATATATTATATCCAATTATAGTTATGCACAAATTGTGTACAAATTTATGTATACAATTAGTCCGTACAATAACAAGATATCAAGTTTTCATTTTACTTTTTAGACATTTTGTTGTTGAGATCTCCTTTGTGTTGATTTTCTTTATGTAAATGTAATAAAGAGTTGAAAAATTTTAAAATTTTTTCTAAACTAATTAAATGCTGGATCATAAATTTTTGAAAAATATTAAATTCTTATATATTTTTATATAATAATTTATATATATATATATATATATATATATATATATATATATATATATATATATATATATATATTATATATATATATATATATATATATATATATATATGTATATATATATATATATATATTATTATTTTATATATATATATATATATATATATAATTTATTAAGATTATAATAAAATTTATTTTACCTCACATATTTAAGTGAGGATCTAAGTGGACCTAAAGGATCTCGGAACCTCGGATCTGAGTAGATCTAACTCAATTATTATTGGACAGGAATGTTAAATAATAATCTTATACATGTTAAGATACTACAATTATTTTTAAAAATAATTTTTTTTTTATTAAGTTAATTTGCCCATTTGGGGGTGGGTACTTATGCCCCAGTTAGTTTCAATTGAGTGATTTTGATATCTATTTAAAAAAAATCGGTGTGTAACATTTAATTAAAATCAATTTTTAATTTTTCATTAAAAAGCAAATTAGCCGTTAAATGATTAACCAGGACATTAAATGCCACTTGTTAAAGTGTTTTTAAAATTTTAAGTTCCAACTGGCTATTAAAAGTTTGTTTTTGTTTGATTTTACTCTTTGATTTTACTCTTTTTTTTATTTGACAATTACTCAAATTAAATTGAAAAAATGTTCATTATTAAATAAATTTAAACTCTGAGTAAACTAAAGCCTAAAAAGGGCCTTTAAAAGATGTAAAAAGATGTAGCCACTTGATGTAGGTCACTTTGCCTCATAATACAATAAACGATTTTAAGATTTAAGCAACACATCATTTGTTGTTACAGCAGCTGGTGCTATAGTAACTATCACTCTAGTTACTATAATTGCAGTTACTGCTTATTTTTTATGTTATTCCATTTATAATGCTTACTTTAAATGTTATTTAATCTATAATGCTTATAAATTAATTACAAAGTTTTAAAATGATTCATTTTCTAATTCAACAGTTTAGTAATACAAGTTTATTTGACAACCTGTATTTATTATACTTTTTTTAGCATGTGAACAATGGAAACATGGAATAGACTGCGAACAAGATTGTACTTGTTTTCCTAATAACACTCAATCTTGTGATCCTAAATCTGGAACATGTACTTGTAAATCAGGGTTTATGCTTCCATCTTGTACTTCAAGTAGTTTTATTTTTCTATTTACTTTTTTTGTTTATTTAATTTTTGTTTTTTGAAACTTCTTGCATTAAACAGTTGAAACATTTTTGTTTTTTTATATAGTTTGTACTACCGGTACTTGGGGTTTCAACTGTTTTCAGACATGCGAGTGTAATGCATCCAATTCTGAAAACACTACATGCGATGCTGAAACAGGACAGTGTGAATGTCTTGCTGGTTATAAAGGAAGACAGTGCAATCAAAGTATAGCTTTTAAACTTTTACAGTATTAAAGTTTTAAACTTAAAAATATAAAATGTTTAAAAAAAATCATTCATCAATATTTTATATTCAATTTTTTAAATTTCCATAATTTCTATTTTCCTTTTTTCATATTTCTGTTTATTATTAGTTTTCTTTTTTCATATTTCTGTTTATTATTATTTGTATTAGTAATAACAATATTTTGGTTTTTTAGTAAGAATATTTTTGTCAATGATAATTAAAATATACTAATTAGTTATACTGTACCTGATTTTTGTTGATATTTTTTGAAAATTTTTTATTTACATAATTGTTATATATTTTTTTTGATGGTAGTATGTGAAGAAGGATTTTTTGGTAAAAAATGTCTTGATCAATGTGTCTGTAACTTTACTGGCATGTCAGGGTTCTGTGATCATGCATCTGGAAGATGTTTTTGTAGTTCTGGGTTTTTAGGAATAATATGTAATGAAAGTAAGTTTTGTTTTTATGTACACCACAAAGTTCTTATATTCATTTTTATAGTCATTATGTTTATAATCATTTTTATAATGATCTACATAATAAATTATTATTCTCTAAACTCTGTTTAGCATGTGCAGATGGTTTTTGGGGTGTCGACTGTTCTCAGGCATGCAACTGTAATGCATTAAATTCTAAAAATACTACATGTGATGCTGAAACAGGACAATGTGAATGTCTTGCTGGTTATAAAGGAAGACAGTGCAATCAAAGTATAGCTTTTAAAATTTTTAAGTAAACTTAAAAACATAATATATTTTTTTTTTTTATGTTTTCGTATTTCTGTTTATTATTATTTGTATTAGTAACAATAATATTCTGATTTTTTAGTAAAAATATTTTTGTCAATGATAATTAAAATATACTAATTAGTTATACTGTACCTGATTTTTGTTGATATTTTTGAATTTTTTTTTAAATCATTATCTTTTTTTTAGTTTGTGAAAAACGATTTTTTGATTTACAAAAGTGTTTTTTTTTTTTTTTTAGTTTTTATTAAGTAGATTTTATGTTATTTTCTGATTAATTCTACAAACGTGAGAAATTTTTTTTTACAGATTATAGAAAATCAAGCCTATTCAACAAATATATACCAGTAGGGTCATCTGTTATTGTATTGGTCATTGTTCTTATTGGATTCATTACTTTTCGAATGCTCAGAAAGAGAAAGTTAATGAATGAAAAGTTTGATCAAAAGTATAAAAATTATTTTTATAGTTTTCTGATTATACTCTTCCTTTTTTATTTTTATTTTTCTTATTTGGTTATGTTTTAAATCTTTGTTTTAAATTTTTTTTTTTTTAACTAAGGATAAGCAAAGCACAAATGGATAATGACGGGTTTGAGTTAAATGAATCAGGTTGATTATATTTAGTCTTACCAATATTATTTATTATTGTCAGGTTATTAAATTATTTTAAATATTTAATTTTGTTAAATCTTTATTTATTACAGTAGAGAAAAAATATTTATAAAATGTAGAATATAAATATATATAGTAGACAATATATATATATATATATATATATGTGTGTGTGTGTGTGTGTGTGTGTGTGTGTGTGTGTGTGTGTGTGTGTGTGTGTATATATGTATATATGTGTGTGTAAATATACATATATATATATATATATATATATATATATATATATATATATATATATATATATATATATATATATATATATATATATATATATATATAGTAGACAATATATATATATGTTATGACAAAAAAACTTGAAATTTTTTGCAGTTTATAAACTTTTCCATGCAACTGTGTGCGTGTGTGTGTGTGTGTATATATATATATGTATATATATATATATATATATATATATTAAGGTGATTCTAAAAACAACTTTTTTGAAAATGTCTGCTGGCACCACCTAAATGTGTTGTATATAATAAAACACATTTAGGGGTGCCAGCCGATTGATTGTTTTAGAATCATCCTAATATGTATATATATATATATATATATATATATGTATATATATATATATATATATATATATATATATATATATATATATATATATATATATATATATATATATATATATATATATATATATATATATATATATATATATATATATATATATATATATATATATATATAAAGTACTGGTCAAAATTATAACACAACCTCTTAAAATATGATTGTCATCAAACCTTATGAATTAATCATAATTCATAAAAACGTTTTATGAGTTATTATTAATTCATAAAATTTTTGTATGAATTAATCGTATTGTTGAGAGGTACTGTATTTTTGAAATGCTTTTACATTTAATTTTATGTGTCATTTAAAATGTACACAAAATTAAATATTTTGTTCATTATTCCTCTTAGAAATGAACAATTTACCAACATATACAAAAAATGTTGTCAAATTTATAGCACACTCATATTCATATTGTAATTTTGACAGTGTGTTTGATTAAATGCATTGACACATTGTTGTGTATGATATTTTATACACAACAATATCTTCAAGGGGCGAATTAAGTGATCGCGAATTGAAAATTCCGTAAAAGTTTCTGGTCTTAAAATTTGTTTTTCTTGAAAACTATTTTTGTGTGTTGTTTTCGGACCATTCGTAAGAAACTAAAAATTTAAAGACCAGAATTTTTCATGGAATTTTCGATTCGCAATCACTTAATTTGCCCCTTGATTTTATAATTTATCAAAGTTTTTTTCAGTAGTTTTAAAATTAAAACAAAATTTATGGGTCGCGAAGCAGTGAGCTCTGAGTAGCAAGAACTTCTAAAAAACTTCAACAACAATTGCTAAACATGCTAAAACTTGATGAAAATTTTTCTATAATAATGCTAATAAAAATAAATTGAAAACCAATGAAAAATCAACTAGTTCAAGGACATCATAGATGCATTCTACAGAAGACCACTATATAGTGGCACTTGCTAAAAAAATTGTACTGGCTTAACTAGAAAAATTGCTATGGAATGCTGCAAAAGAAAAAACCATTAGTACACGAACAGTTAGTTGTTTGTAAGAAAAAGAGTTAAAAAGTTACATACACAGAAAAAGAAGAAACTCACTTGTTGTAAAAACCATGTTGATTGGACTTGAAATCAATGGCATCATGTGATATTTAGCGACAAATCAAATTTTGAAGTTATAAATAGAAAGAATCGTAGGTTTGTACACTGTCTTCCTAATGAAAAAGATTTACCATTTCATTTTACAACAAGAGCTCAAAGTGGTGGTGGAACTATTTCTGTATGGGCATTTTTTCTGCAAATAGAACAGGTTTATTGAAGTTTTATTGAATGCTTCTTGTTATTGAGGAGTTATTACTGAATTAACTGACAAATTACTTTTAAAATTTTATAGTGAAAGTTTTTTGATTTTATACTTTAAAATTTTATTGCAAAAATATATTCATTTTATAAAAAGAATAATTTTTTTTTTATTAATATCATGCTTTAAAAAAAAAATGCATTAAGATTTTGTTACTTAGCTTAAGTATCATAAAAAAAAAAACTAAAGAAGATGTTTAATTAATTTTTATTTATTTGCAATAAATTGAAAAATAATAGTATTATGAATAAAAAACTAGTATATCAAAATTGGTGCAACAAAAATAAACTTTTAATCTAGTATTTAATATCTTCTCCATATTCTTTTTTTGATTCTGAAGCTGAAGATTGTTATTTTATGCAAGACAACACACTGTGTCATAAATATAGTTATAATATAAATATAAATATAAATATATAATATAAATATAAATATGTCATAAAGCAAAAAAAAAAACTCAGGAGTGGTTTGCAACAAAGAATATTTGGCTTCTAGAATGGCCACCCACTTTACCAGATGCTATCCTATTTAAAATCTTTGGTCAGTTATTGACCAAAACCCCGAAAATTACAACATAAGCAACACAAATGATTCAAAGGATTCAATTCAAGGCATTGGGGACAAGACTTCAATCGATCTTTGCATTAGTTGGTAAATTCTGTACCAGATTGTTTTTTTCAAATTTTTAGTGCTTAAGGATCATTTCTTCATATTAAATCAGTTTCTAGTGTTTTTAATCTAAAGTTAATACTATGTACTATAATTATGAACGGCTTTTTTTTCTGTATTATTCCTAAGTGAACTTTAAAACATGTTAACTTTAGATATATTCAATTTTCATTAGTAAAATGTTATTTTTCAGATAAAAAAATAATTATAACTTTTCATTAAACTATTAAATTTATATATATATATATATATATATATATATATATATATATATATATATATATATATATATATATATATATATATATATATATATATATATATATATATATATATATATATACATATATATATATATATATATTTAAATAATTTAAAATGTATTCTACAAAAAGAGTGCTCAATGTTCTTAAAAGAACAGAGCAATTACAAATTAGTAGAAAATCACATAGCAAAATTTTTTCTTATTTAACACTGTGTTTCATCAATAAAGACTTATCAAAAAATCTTTTCTGATGAGTTTTTATTGATGTTAACAGTGTTAAATGAGAAAAAATTTTGCTAAGTGATTTTCTACTAATTTATATATTTATATTTATATATATATATATATATATATATATATATATATATATATATATATATATATATATATATATATATATATATATATATATATATGCATACACACATGGTTGCAATGGAAAAGTTTATAAACTGCAAAAAAATTCAAGTTTTTTTGTCATAACTTTTTGTCTTTTCACAAAAAAATAAAATTTGTAACATTTTTTTTTAGTTTTTGTGACTATATAGAATAATCAACTCAAACAAAAATGACAACTTGAAATGAAAGGGAGAAATTCTATATTTTTATAAGCATAGCTGTGCAAAAGTTTATAAACAAATAAAAAATTTAAAAAAGAGGTACTGTATGTGGATCTTGCATACTTTTTCATCACGATACAATAGTATTCTGTTGGATAGCCTCTAAGTTTTATTACTGCTTGACAAAGACAAGGCATTGAGTCAACTAAGGTAATAAGAATATCTATGAGAATATATTACCGAAAATTTCAAAACCATCTTGAATCAATCATTTTATTAGTTGGTTTTTTTTGTCTATCAATTGACAAATATATTCTAAATATATTCTATAGGTTTCTAAATATATTCTATTGGATTTAAATCTGGGCTTTAAGAAGGTCAAAACTCAAATTTTTTAGAATTTTTTGGATCATTGTCTTGCTGAAAAATCGCAATGCATTTTATCTTTTCCATGTGGCAACATAATATTCTTGATTATATCTAAATATACAATCTGATACCATACACATTTGATACAATGAAGTGGACTAATAAAATCACAACTGAAGAATCCCTAAACCATTACATGTCACCATGTTGGCGTTTGATACTTATAAGCAAGTTTTCCATCTTTTGAACATACTTAATACTACTTCTTCCAAACATCCACTACTTTCATTTGTTACTGAATAAGCCGATTCTTTTTAAGTCCAATGCAAGTGATCTTTTTAAAATTTCATTTAAAGTAAACAGTTCTTTAATAATATTAATTGTTTTTAGGCAGGACAACGGTTAAACAAGTTATGCTGACACAGCCAAGGTTTTGTAGTGTGTATGCTGCACTTAACACCATAATTTTTACTCAAAATAACATTTAATTTGACAGCACTTTTGTGAGGATCTTGTTTGATTGTCTGTCACAAAACTCTGTCTTGATATTCTGTAGTTATCTTTGGCTCTTTTGAACAATTCTTGTTTTCAAATGTCTTACAGTCTCTATATCTCTCATCTAGTTTGTTAATTGTTGATTTAGCCATATCATAAAGCTCATAAATTTGCTTGTATGGTATCTTCTATTTGAAGGCATGTATTTCTAATTTTTTGTGACATTTGTTTGATTTTCAATAAATTAATTTTATATTAAAATAATTTTATTAACATCTAAATATGTAGAGTTATATAAATATGTTTTTTCCTAATAAAAAAGTACTTTTTTAAGGAGTTGTTTATAAACTTTTGCACGATTATGCTTTCAATAAAATCTTAATTTCTTCTTTTTATTACAAATCATCATTTCTTGAGTCAATTATATTAAAAATAAATATATTTTGAGATATTAACATTAGAGAAATAGTTAATTAGTTGTTTATTGAAAGTAGTCTAAACAAATTTTTCAGATATTTTCCATTTTTAATTTTTCTAAAAAATTTGATTGCAAATTTGAATGTTATTATTTATTTTTTTTATTTTAAAAAAAAATTAAACAATATTTGTTTTAAATATTATTACTTTTTTGAAATAAAATTTCTACCTTTTTTTATATAGCAAATTCCTTTTAGAAGGAATGCGGAGTTTTTAGAAAGGACCACAGATTTGAATGTCACAAAAAGATTACTTCTTCCTAGTTTTGGTATTCAGGATACCAAATTTTTTTATAATAAAAATTTTTTTATAATAAAAAAAGCTTATGAACTACTATTGGTAAAAAAGTTAAGACTTTTAGGTTAGAGGTGCAATCACTTTTTGAACTCTGAGTCCTTAGGTATAATGGCAGCAAGGACTCTGGTACTCCAGGGCTCCAGGCTCAAAAATAATATGTTTCAAATCATTAAATTTTGTTAGTTTTTTTTTTTTTTTATATAGCAGATCATAAGTTAACCAACATGTTCAGAGCTTCTGGACACCAGAGACCAGGAAAAAATATAAGTTATATAGAAAAATATAAAGCTATAATGCCTGAGTCCATGCTTTTTGGTTATATAAAAATCTATAAAATACCAATGTAATGCATGCAGGTATTTGTGGTTTTAATTTTATTTACATGTCAAAAATAACAATACTTGCTCTCACTCAAGCTCATCGTTTGATGTGTGTAAAAATACCCTTTCTATTCATTCTTATAGATACATCTATGTTTCATAATTATGTCATTAGTAACTTAACATTTTGTACTTATAATTCTCACTACACTCATAGTTATTTATATATTTATGTATGCATAGTAAAAATATTTTTATTTATATGTATGTATAGTAACAATATTTTTACAATATTTTATTTCATTTTACATAAAAATGTTTGTTAAAATTTTATAATGAAATATGTATTTCATTATAAAATTTTAACAAACATTTTTATGCTTCAATTTTTATACACATATTTATAGACATAAACTATTTTTATTCCTATTTTTTTATTAGTTAGTAACCCAATATATGATCTCACCTCAAAAAGCTCTTTTTATGATGACAAGAAGAATCTCAAGGTTGAAAATGAAAGTGATGATTATAGTGTTTTGTTCAAAAATAAAAATAATAAAAAAGGGAGCATTGACCGTCCTGATTTGTCGTTCAGAAAGAGTGGCCAAGGAATAAGTGAAAACTTACTTTATGATGAGCTCAACCAAACTAATGAAGAAATGAATCAAAGTTATGATGTGCTGGAACATGATAAACATAAAAGAAAGAGTCAGATAGACAATTTAGAAATTAAAAATAATTCTTATGACGTGTTAAGTAAGAAATCATCAAATTTATACACTTCTACTCCAATCATGCAGAAAGATTTGAATGTTACTACATCATCTAGTACGAATGTTGAATCTGATCATTTATACACTTCTACTGCAAGTATGCAGAGAGATTCTACTAAGAATGATTTTAACGTTACTTCAAACATTAATTACTATGCTGTATCCAACTGTGTGAATGCAAATTCTATTTATGGAGATGCTAGAGGTAATTGCAAAAGTACTACTAAAAAAGGTAAAAGCACTGCAAAAGAAGATTAGAGAATTTCTGACGGAGATAAAAGTAACGCTAAAAAAGATAAAAAATCTTCTAAAGGAGATAAAAAGTACTAAAAAACCTGCACCGTGTTTTTTTATTTGTTTGATTCAAAGAATTTGTTTTTATAACTTATACATTCCTTTTAAATTTCGTTTGATATTTTTATTTTTTAAATATAAATTTCAATCGTTTGTTTTATATTTTTATTCAGTTTAATTACTCTTTTTTTTTATCTTTCAACTTAGAAAATATTAGATATATAGAATTATAGAATAAATAACCCTAATATATTATAGACAATATATTTTTTTGCTAATTGAATTAAGTAATCACAAAGAGATATATTTTTATTATATTTTTATTATTTGAAATAATATATTTTTTAGACAAGAACTTTTATTATAATTTTTAAAAAGAGTTTTTATACAACAATTTTAAGTAAAAATATTTTTATATTTTCTATATTTTTTTTAAAAGTAAATTTGTATAAGACTTAATATGGAATATAAATAGTTTTTTTCTTAAAATGTATAATTTTGGAGTTTTTAAATTATTTCTCATCAATAATTGATTATTTATTGAGTATGATAAGTAGTAGCGGTCAACTTTTTTCTCTGCCCCCAAATCAATTTGAAAAATTGGCATAAGTGCAAAGCAATTGTAAAAACTAGCATATGTGCGAACTGGCATAAGTGTGAATTGGCATTAGTGTGTCAAATAAATTTACAAACATTAGTATAAATGCTAAAAATTTTAAAACTGGAATATATGCAAACTGGCATAAATGGGTCAAAAGAATTTGCAAAAATCTGGCATAAGTGTGAACTAGCATAAGTGCACTTACAAAATTTGCAAGCACTGGCATAAGTATGAAAGTTTGCATTTGTGACTTTTATTTAGTGAATTAAAAATTCAAAAAAATCCACAAAAAATATTACTAACAGGCTAATAATTATTATTTTCTTTTCGAGAGTTTGTAAATATGTTTAGCAAAACTTGAAAACAAAGTATTTGTTGAGAAGATAAACAGTCAAAGATGTATTCATTCTTTTACAAAAAGAATTTAGAATCTCTTATAACTAATTAAGTTAACTTTTAAGTTTCTGTACATGAAATAGATATTATAAATTATTTTAAAAAATATTTTCTGGACCTACTGTAATATCTTCTGACCCCTTTTATTTTTGTGCCCAATGTTAGAAAAGTTTTTAGATACTTATAGATTAGAGTACTAAGTTGACGTAACTGAGTATATACGTGTTTTAACAATTATGGTGCAATATTGTAACACAATGTTGTAACAGTTTAACACGAAATAGGAAAAGCTTTTTCCAATGGCTCTAAAAAATAAAATTTGCTTAGCTAATTGCTTAGTTGTTAAGAATCTAAACAAAGTAAAAAACCAAGAACAAAAATTTATTTATTAAAATTACATATACACAACCGAGATTTTTTCAATAGAGATGGTGATTTGAATTGATGGTGAATTGGCCAATCACATTAAGATTGAATTACTGATTCAATTATTATTATTGCTGTTCTTGTTATTATTATACTTATTATTAGTAGTATTATTGTGTTTATATTTAATTTATAATAAGTTGATATACTTCATATATCTTATGTTAGTTTTTAAAAAGGTTTCTCTGTGGAATTTATAGTAGTCTTTCTGTTTTAACTTTTCTTATATAAAAAATACATTTTTTTTTTAATGACTAACATACTAGAAATTGTACCAAATCTTTAATTTAGTTTAATTCAACTCATAATTTTTTTGAGCTTTTTTAGTCTAAACTTGAGAATAAAAATGAATAAATTATTTTGTATGGAATGCAGGAACTCAACCAAGGTTTATAAATCATTGTTTACATATCACCCAAAAAGATTTCTTTTATCTTTTAATACATTTAATGCAAATTTCAAAAGCGGTCAGAAAAATCAGTACGGAAATTTAATTGAATTCCACAAGGCCCAAGGCTTGCTTAGAAATACTTTTTTTTTCTCTGTAAAACGTTTTTTCAACTCTGGTGGAAGTAAAGTTTCTGGAAAACAAACAACTTTGTTATACTTATCGGCTCTAGTTATTATCACTGCTGGCTTATCATATGCTGCTGTCCCCCTGTATCGAATATATTGTCAGGTAAGAGACAATTAAAGACTTTTGTATTCACTTTTTTTACAACTTTTATATTATGTATATATATATATATATATATATGAATATATATATATATATATATATATATATATATATATATATATATATATATATATATATATATATATATATATATATATATATAAAAGTGACTAAATCAAGTACACTTTATGTAAAAACCGTTAAATTTGTGTTGAGGAAACAAATTAAATTTTATTGCTTTTTAAAACAACTTTATAGACTAAAATATTTTTTATTTTTTTAATAAAAATAAAAACATTCTCAATGTTGTTATCTTATTATTGTTTACATACTTCGACTGACAAATAAGTAGAACATGCAAAGAACATAGTTAAGCATGAAATGTCATTAATTATGTCATAATAAAAAGGCTATCTGTGGGTGCATTACTACATTTATTGACTGAGGGTTTGATTTTTAGCAGGTACAATTTAGATATGAACAGATAAAAATAGAATTTATTAAGATAATAGTTCTTAAGATTGTTTTTGGTAAAAAAACACCATTAAAAAAGGTTATGATTAGAAAAACAGTGTGTGTTTATATGCATGCACAAACTTACTTCAGCAGATTTAGGTTGACACATTTTTCTTACTTAAATTTTTGAAATGCTGACTTCAAAACAGTTTTCCAGACAAATAATATAATTTATCAGATATTTAGAAAATATTTAACAATCTCATTAGCAAAGTCTAACATTTTATCTTTTTTATGTAATATTTTCTCAAAAATAAGTCAAAACTATTTCCAAACACTTTTTCCTTTAATTTACCACTCAAATTTAATGATCACATTCTTTCCTGATTTCCCGTACAAAAAGGCTAGTCCATTGTTAGATATCTAAATCACTCTCGCTTCCATTGCTAAAATTATTTCTCCTTTGTGGTTGCTTGTGGTCCAGACATTATTCCTGTCATAGTCTGACAAAAGTTCAGAACTCTTTTAAATACTCTCCAAACTATTTAAAAACTGCTTAACTAAATCTTATCTTCCTGGGTAATGTCATCTGTGATTCCAATTTTCAAAAATTCTCGGGATTCATCTTTAGATTTAAATTTAGATTCATCTACTCATCTTTCTATATCTATTGTATGTATGATGTATCTTTCTATATCTATCTTTATATATCTATTGTCTATTTTTTATCTATTGTCATCTTTCTATATCTATTGTATGTATGATGTATCTATTCATCATAGATACATCTACTCTAACTCACCTAATCAGTATTACTTCATAATTTAATTGAAGTTTTACTATTATTTTGCAGTCTTTGAGTCTTTATTTAAAAGTTTTCATTATCTCACCTATAATCAAACAACTATTTAACAGTATAATTTTTTAATAAAATTAATTTTTTTCAGAATTTTGATCTTCTTTTCCTGACTACTACTACCTAACCGTAGTACCTGTAGATTTGATAATAATATTATTATACTTTATAAATATATTATTATACATGCAGAGAAGTGAAGGAATGAAGAAGTGAAGTGAATGCAGAGAAGGTTCTTGACGTATCAAAGGCTTTTTGATATTTTCTTATTTGCTGATTTTCTCCATAACTCTCTTCATATCGTGTATTGGAAAAAAATTTTAAATTGTTGAATTTTTCTTTTCTAATCACAACATTAAAGTTTACTTAATGATCAAAACTCTCGTTTGTATCCAGTAATTTTTAGGGTTCCATTCTTCTGTGTTGTTTCTTGTCTATAATAATGATTTTCCTGATAACTTTTAATGTGGTTTTATTTTTTTGATGATCTTTCATCTGTAAAAAAATTGGGACTCACAGGGGAATTTTAACACAAAGTTATTTACTGGTAATGATTATTACAATGTTGTTGTTGGTAAAACTATTTTAATGACAACACTCTTCCTGAGTCCTCTACTCTATGTCTTCTGTATAATCTTTCACTACTAGCTTCGTTCTCTACTTCTTAAAATATCTTATTTTTCTTGATATTGAATACTGTTTTCATATATGTAACTTCTAATGATGCTCTATCTACTGAAACAGAATTCAAACTTTGCATTGTTTATGTAGTTGAATCTGTCTCTAGTTTTGTGATATATGCACAAAAAAATTCATTTTTTAGGCTTCTGGCTATGGAGGTTCTGTTAAGCATGCTGATACAGGTGAACAAATTGAAAATATGAAACGTGTTGCTGATCGAAAGTTAATCATAAGATTTGAAGCATCTACTGGCAACCAGCTTCAATGGTCTTTTAAGCCTCAACAAAAAGAAGTGCAGGTAATAATGAATATATTTATATATAAAAATAAGTTTGTATTTTTTTGGGTATGCTTAAACTATATAGAAAGAGTTACATGCACAGTTTATATAATACTTTCATTTCATGTTGAAAGTGTCTGAATTATGATGTACATCTCAAAAATTTATAAAATTTTCAAAATAGTCTTAAGAGTATAAATTTATATTTATAAATATGTTTTTTGTTTTATATAATAGTATTGCTTACTCTTTTAGCTGAAAATGAAGCAGCACTCTTTTGCCACAGCATGCCATATGATAGTTTATGTATGTACTGAAACTCCTGGCAGCAGGCTTTTTCAGTATGACATCATACTGATTTTCATACACTGCATTTATACATGCATTTTATACACTGCATTTATACTCCTCTGACAAAAGTTTGACAAAAAGATGGCAAACTTAGGATCAAAAAAACTGTTTAACTTACTTTTTGCGGAAAAACAAGTAAAAAAAATGTTTTAACTTTCAGGTAGGATTTCTGTGAATCAGTATTCTGAATTATATTGAAACTTATATTGAAATAATGTTGTGAATTCAATACTCGTTACAGAAAATGAAAAAGTTTAATTAAAACTGACCTTGGAAAAATACTTACTTGATAAAATAAACATGTTATTTTGACACTATATATTTAACTTATGTTACATCATGTGTAATTATTAAAGAAGATTTCCACCGAAATTAACTCATACCTCTGCAACAAAAAAAAAACGGTGGGCTGATAATTTACAGAAAATCAGTTTAATGATTGTGGCAGATGAAAAAGTATCAATATTAAGTCATATTTAGTAAAATCATGTGTAGTTAATGCACAAAAAAAGGAAACTGTTTGCGTGTCTTTGTATTTTATGCCATGTTATTTTCCTATGGTGTATAAGGTAATTTTAGTCAATTTGAAAGGCCAGATTAGTCAATTTATAAATGTAACTATAAAAGCCTAGAAAAACTGCTTTTCTTTCTTTCTAAAGAAGGTTTTTTAAATATGATTATTGTTATTTTTAGCCAGTAATTTTAATAGTGTAATTTAACTAAATTGCCTCAAAATATAAGCAATTTTTTTATATTTAGAAAAATGTTTAACAATCATAGAAGTTGTTATTTAAAAGCAATATCAATAGTATTGATGGTGGATGATCTTATTTTTTAAGTTACAAAATGAAAGAATTACAATTGAAGTTCCATTTTTTCAAAGTTTATACAAACTATCAGTCATTCTTTTTGAGATTTTTATCAAAGTTCATAAAAGTTATGAAATCGAAAACAGTTTTTTCTCAAAGAGTAAAATTAAATTTTAAATGTTGTTTTTCCATCCATGTAAATAGTAAAAACATTTATAAAAAAGCACCAAAACTTTTAGGTAAATATAACTTTTAGTAAATATAACTTAGTGAATGTAAACTTTAGTAAATATATCTTTTAGATAAAGTTTTAACTTTATCTAAAAGTTATAATTACACAAATTCAAAATTAAATTGTGCTTTAAAAGCAACTTTATTCAAATTTTTAAATGAAAAAACATAAAATTTAATATCAATATATATTATTAAAAAATAAAAGTTTTTTGAAAAAGCTTTTAGAAAAACAACTTTATCTTATTTTTTAAGTATTTTTTAAATTACATCACATTAAAATTGCTAAAATTCTTTCATTAATTTCTTGAAATTTTCTTTATAAAAAAAAGTAAAATATTAGGCCACCAATAAACTTTAACCCAACTTTAAACTTTAACTTTAAAAACCCAGCTCGTTACTCAAACTTTCCAAATTAAAATAATTTAGATTATTCATTTCATAGTCAAAATAACATTTTACAATGATGCTTTTTTATCATGACATATGAAAGTACGTAAGTAGAATTTTCGAAACCATTAAAATAACTTAACTAAAGTAACTTCATTAGTAAAAATATATTTTTATTAAACATTTTTATGTGTTTATTTTTATTAAACATTTTTTAATTGTTTATTTTTATTAACCATTTTTATGTGTTTATTTTTATTAAATATTTTTATGTGTTTATTTTTATACTCATTAATAAAATTGACAAAAAAGAGATTGAAAGTTGACTATAAAATTTTCTGCTGTGGAACACGCTATGTATATCAAATATTAAATGTAATAAAAAAATACAGAAAGATAAAACTATCAAACAAGTTTTATAAATGACTGCTCCAACCAACTTTTTCACTAATGAAAAAAGGTAGTCGTCTTATTTAAATCTGAAATTAAAATATGATTATTGTCATTAAAGATACACATACAAGATATTGCCATTACATACATACATACATTTTTTTTTTTTTTAATCTTCGTTTCCAACAAGGCTGCAAGCAACCACTAATTAGTGTTGGAAGTTACTGGAAGAGAAAAGATGAAGATTGTAGAGCAAGATAGCGATTGACAGACGACTTAAAAGATTGCAAATTATATGAATCAGGAAAGCAAGATGAAGGAAGCGAATTCCAAAGAACTGATGTTCGAGGAAAAAAACTAAACAAATAAGAGTTTTTGGAGCACTTAGGAACAGTAACAGAAAAAGGATGAGACTTAATTGAATGACGAGTAACACGAGAATGAATTTTAGTAGATGACACAAGAGACGCTAGCTCTTTAGAGCAGTGCCCATTATAGTATTTGTAGAAAAGAGAAAGAGAAGCAACATTACAACGATGTGACAGAGGTTGAAGGTTGGCTGCAAGAGCAGGTCCAACTATGTTTACAATGCGTTTTTGCACCTTGTTTTAAAGAGAAAAGGCATCATTAAAAGATCCGCCCCAGATATGGCAACAGTATTCGATACAAGGCCGGATTTGAGATTTTAGAGATAGAGAATAGAATCCAGAGTAAAAAAGAGAATGGCGAGCTCGATAAAGAGAAGCAACTTTAGCAGATGCTAATTTTGCAACGGATTTGATATAAGATGAAGTGTAGGAGACTCATTGAGTACATTACCATTCATAAATATAGGAAGGTCTAAATTATTGCGATAACGATTGGCCGAAAAAAATTGAGTTTTATCTGAATTAAAGTTCACCAGCCACTGCGAGCCCCATGCTGTAGCAGAAGTGAGACCCTTTTCAAGCTCAGAAAAAGCCAACTCCCCCTGCAAGCAATCAGAGGGAGTTGGCTTTTTATCGTGACAAGAATAAATGGTAGTATCTTTAGCGAACAATGCCACCTTAGATGTGAGAATATCTGGAAGATCGTTAATGTAAATTAAAAAGAGCATAGGGCCAATGATTGAACTTTGGGGAACCCCTGAGGTTACAGAATAAGAAGAAGAGTGCTGTCCATCAAGGACAGTTTTTATGCTACAATTGGAAAGAAAGTATTCAATAATCTTAAAGATGTTTCCAGATACACCGTAAGAAGAAATCTTATGGAGGAGACCAGCATGCCAAACTTTATCAAACGCTTTAGAAATGTCAAGAGCAATGGCCTTAACCTCTCCACCTTTATCTAATGCGCGATAAAGCCTATCGGTTATTACTGATAGCAAATCAGCCGTAGAACGAGAAGATTAAAATCCATATTGATGATCAGAAAGTAGGTTATGAGATTCGAGATTAAGTGTTTGTTAATTAAAGATTCAAAAAACCTTGCTTATGATAGGAAGAAGACTAATGGGACGGTAGTTAGATGAATCAGATCGCTCTCCAGAATTTTTAAAAATAGGGATAACAGATGCTGCTTTCCAGCAGGCTGGAAAACAAGACTCTGATAAGCACCTGTTAAATAGTTTTGAAAGGATAGACGACAGCTCCGGAGAACACTTCTGCAAGACTATAACAGGTATGTTGTCCGGGTCGCAAGCCTTAGAAGAGTCTGAGCGGGAAATCACTTTAGATACAGAAGCTGGAGTGATACGAATGTCAAGCAATGGATCAATCTGTTTGACGGCTATATCAGGTAGAACGCAACTAGTGGCATCAAGAGATGATGTTGATGAAAAGTTCTTGGCAAACAATTCAGTTTTGTCTTTAGGTAAGGTGACAAAGTCTGAACCATACAAAAGAGGTGGAATTATAGACTTGCCCTTATTATTGATACTATTAAAGATTCTCCAGAAGTCACAAGAGCCTAATTTTTGTAATGAAATACGAGATTTCATGATCTGAGAATAGCGGGCTTTGGCGTTAGACAAAACCTTTTTACAATGGTTCCTAGCAGTAATAAAGAGACGTCTGTTTTCTGGAGAATTGTTTTGCTGATAGATATGGAAGTAATGGTTTTGATTGGCAATTGCAGCAGCACAATGTGAGGCTTGACCTGGAATCGTCGAGAGGGAATAAAGGATTCCATGCCAGGCTGAATCCACGAAGTTATGTAAGAAGCACATTTGTCAACAGGAAGACGAAAGATTTCTAACAAAGGGCCATTACGAAGAAAATCACGGAAATAGTCCCAGTCAGCTTTAAGGTAGTTGTAAGATGTACAATAGGGGTTTCTGATGGTAAAGAAGAATGAGATAATAGTTTTAGAGAGATCAAACTATGATCAGAGGCACCTAAGGATGTGAGTGTGAAGAAACTGAGCACTGACTAGGATCAGAAACAAGACATAAGTCGAGTAGTGAAGGTAAATGATTCGGGTTGTCTGGAAAGTGAGTTGGAAAGTTGACTATTCGATTTAAGGATTGAGAAAGGCAAAAGTTATGGGCTTTAACGCTTGCAGAATCACTGACACTAGAGCCAAGCCATTCAGTGTGATGAACATTAAAGTTACCGACATCAACAATATTGGCTGATGGATAAAGAGAGAGGGCTTGGTTAATATGATCAGAAATAACATCAAGAAGAGTGCAGTCTTGAGATGAAGGGGAGCGATATAGAACAAAGAGAAAGGTGATAGAGTGAAGTGGTGCTAAACAAAAGCACATAAAATAGTAGTCTGTGGATTCAAACCTAGTTTCCTGACAAATGGGTGAATTCTTACGAATGTAAATACCCAGGCCAAGCATGTGACTATTGGAGTCTTTACGAATTAAAGGAAGATAATCATCAACACTAAGATCACAAGATGAAACAGCTGAACTCAAATTAGTCTCACAAAGAGCAAGTAGGTCTGGTGAACTTTGCAAAAGATAAGACTCAACAGAAGAAAAGTTACTTCGAAGACCACGAATATTGGTGAATGATAGGTTTAGCAAACTTGGTGATGACTGTGGTTTTTTGTGTTTTATAGTTTTTGTTACTTTATTCATTTTTAAATTTGTTAAAGAACTTGACTCGAAACATAGATAGTACTCAGTAAACTATTTTATAGCCCAAGCAATTGCCTCATTTCCACTAATAAACCCTAAGCCGTAGCAAAGGGCTCCAATGTGGCCTTGGCAATGCACACCAAAAGTACAAACAGGGACACCATCCATGCGCAACATGGCACTGTTAGTAATCTGATATTTTTCAGCTGTTAATGGAATCAGCCTCTCTGAGAGCTACCACAGAGTTCGGGAAACCTGACTACCAGCCTACCTCAGAACCATGAAACTGAGTTTTAGAGCTGTACCCTCATTTGGAGATAATAGAATGAGTTGCCTAGTCATAAAAACAGAGACACAAGCAAAACCCATGAATCGAGTCAAGAAGATCCAGCGTTCAACATCCTAAACTGGAAACAATGTATTAAAAATACATCTGCACCAGCCTAATAGATGATGAAGGGGTGCGAGGCTGCTCAACAGATAGAATCTGTTTACCCTTTAAGTCTTTGCCTAGGAGGCCTTCCACAAGACAGCAGCCGGATGCATTTAACATCTGCCCAAAATGAGTATTTTTATCAAGACACCATCTCTAGCCTTTACTCAACCCAAGGCAGGGGGTGTTTTATGTCGGAGTTTGCATCTCCTAGCCTTTGCCTAAAAAGGCATACCCTACAAGGCAGTAGGACATGAAGCAGATTGTACTGGGTTACATGTTACCAGTAGCAGGATAAACTAGACCTGACATTTAAGTACATAGTTACATACACACATACATACATACATACATACATACATGCATGCATAACATAAGATTAAAGTTAAACTTAGTAGATTAAATGATGAATTTTTAAATATTGAAATGATTACAAATTACACAAACAGTCTGATATAATTTTAGTTTGGTTAAATTAATGTAAAAAAAAATTTAACTTAAATGTTGTTAATTTTTTGTTTTTTTTTAATTCTTTTGTTTGTTTTTTTATTTCTTTTTAGAACATGTTTTTAAGCTATGCATTATAATACTTAATAATTTATACTTTATATATTTTTATAAAAAGTGAAATGCTATTGGTGTTTTTTTAATAAAATTTTGAGTTTTACAATAAAAAATTATAACCTTGTTTGTTTTATTTTAAGCTTACTCCTGGTGAAACTGCGTTAGCTTTTTATACAGCCAAAAATTTGAGTGATCGCCCAATCATTGGCATAGCTACTTACAATGTTGTTCCTTTCAGTGCTGGGCAGTACTTTAATAAAATTCAGGTTTTTGTTAACGTTATTGGATTTTCTAGTTGTAAAATAGTGACTACAGGAACCAACCCTCACTTATTTTATTTGTCAAAATAGTTTAGTTATTTTTTTTAGGTTGCTCATTCTGGCCAGACATAGGTGCGTTGTTGCCTGGTCACTGTTTTACATTTTGATTTTCATTAGGTTTTCTTATATATTTTAAACAAATTTATTTTAAAACTATTTTTATGATAAACCATTTTTCAGTAACATTTTTTTCCATATTTTCCTTAAAGTATTTAATTGTAGAAATAAAATTTTTTTTAACTATTTTAGTTCAAAAGTTTGGCATATTCTATGCATCTATGCATAAATTGAAATCTGTCATAAATTGAAATGGAAAAAATTGAAAATAAAAAACATAATTAAAAAAGTTTTGTATTTAATATTTAATGGTACATAGGAATAATTATTTTTAGAGGTCTTTCTAATTCTTATATTTGTTAATTTATAATAAAGTTTGTTAATTTATAAAAGTTAATTCAATAAAACCTTTTAAAAAAAAAAAAACCTCTATTATAAACAGCAATGCCTGAGTTATCAGACAAAACAAAAACTTATTAATAAATAAAAAGACAAAACTATAAGGATATTTTTCTTAACTGAAGTAATTACTTTTGAATTAAAATTAGTTTTTTCTTCTATGAAAAATCATCTGCAAAACTTGATCATCTGCGTTTGATCTCAATTAAGCTTTGACACCTTTTATAATTAACTGTAAAAAAAGCCAAATCAGTTTCTTTCAGTTTTAATCTAATGCAAATAATACTTTCTCTTTTGAAGCTTGCCAACCTGTCAAAAAGCTCTCGATTAGTTGTGTTTGAGGCATATTTTGTGGGAAGCACAATCAGTGGTGATTTAGTTGGGTTCCTTATCAACAAAATTGACACATTTGTCCAATTCAAAGAATTTTTAGAGTAATAAGAACTTGATAAATCAAAATCAATAGTTTAAATGCCATGATATATTTGAATAAATTGAAGAAGCTGGAATGAATGGTAGAAGCTTCTGAACATTCATCAAAATAGAGTGATGTATTGATTGCCTGTATGGTATTCAGAATTTCCATCTGCAATGAAGAATCAACAACTGCAAAACTAAATCTAAATCTGTATTTTTATCATCAATGACCAGAAGTGAATTTGTGTTATTGAGCTGATTAACAAGTTTTCTGTGCTTTTTTTTGCCTTTGTTTGCTTTTATTTGTTGTTAAATATTGTATTATTATTTTATTTTTTTTAATTGACGACCAATTGTTTAATGATTTACGCCCTATTTAAAACAAATTTTCTCTAACCGTTTTCCTATTTTGGTTGTTGACAAGTCTTTTTATCTTGACTTTTTTTTCTCTAGTCCAGGATGTTAGACAACCAGAAAGCTTTTTATCAGAAAAAGTCTTGTTAAGTTATCATAAATTAGTTGTATTTCATGCTGTTTCTTCTTTTTATAAACTATTTCACTTTATTTAAGTAATGGTTTTAAATTGAGAATCTTTTTGAAAAATTTCTAAAAAGATTCTCCCTCTGCTGTATTTAACCTCATTTTTATAAATTTGCTTTTTTAGAATAATAGAATAGATATTTTTTTTATGCATATGTGTCAAACCACATAATTGTTTAATTAGCTAAAAAAATTTAATTAAAATTTGTCCAATTACTTATCCTTTTTAACACTACAATTTATACTGTTTATACACAGTTAAATTAATTAGTTTTTATAATTGATTTAGTTTATTAAAAACTAAACATTTCATTATATAAATATATAATTTAAGAAGCTCCTCACTATAATTATGTTATATATACACCCAACTGTATATAAAACACAATTATAATTTGCAAAAGCTTGTTGTAGTTGGCATTGTGTTGTCTTACCTTATGCGTTCTTCAAAACTGTTTGAGGTCTTGGTGAACTGACTCCCTACAACCTGGAAACTACCCAGCTTGATCTTTATGTAAAACTATGAAAATGATGAAAAGTAGTTATCTCTTTGACAAGCATTTTCTTTCTGACAAGCAAGATTGGATTTATATATATACAGAAATTTGGAAGTAATTAACGATTGCTTTAGATTCATTTTGGTTACTTAGGTAACTTTGGTAACCAAATAATTGAAAAAAATACAAGAACTGTTTTTGTTAAAATTTTTCAATTTTTTTAAGTTTGCAATTATGTGATATTTATACAACTTGCAAAAAAAACGCTTGTTCACTTACTACTACTTTCTATGAATACAACAGTTCTTTTGTTCTATTGTTTCAAAAAAGTCTATTATGTGTCAAAATGTGATTTTGCACTTGATTGAACAAGTTTGAGTAATTTATCAAAATGTGTTGAAAACAAGAAATGTGTAGAAAAAATATCTTGCATGATTTATTTTTTATAATGTCAAGAGTTGTTTAAGAATTTCTTTTCAGTTTCAAATTCCACTAAGAACTGTTCAATGTATTATCAAAACGTTTAACGTGTTATCAAAATGAAAATGAAAGTAGTCAAAAGAAGAAACAAAAAAATCGTTGTTGAAAAAAAGATGCAAAATCCAGAACTCTTACAATAAATTTGCAAACAATCAACACAAGTAAAACTTTTGAAAGAATTAAGAAATAACAAGCTTGTATATATGCAAAAAAAATTAAATGAAGCGAAGAAAATAAAAAAATTTGTTTCTTCGCCTCACTTCAAGCTATTTGTCATTTGCTTGCACAAGTGATTTTTGCTTTTGTTTCAAGATCTCAAAAACAAAAAACTTTATTTTGGTCTGATTAAACAATTTATCATTATTTCAAAGATACAATTTTATGGTACCAACTGAAGTCAATTTGTTGTTAAGGACATCAGTATTACCATAGTTTATTGCTCTATAAATAATAAAGACCAGTATGCCAGATTTTGTTGGTTTGAAAAACAAGATTAAGTAAAACATTCATTAAATAATTTTCATTAAAACATTCATTAAATAATGTTTCAAAGAACACTTTTTTAAGAGTGAGAATGTTTTCCACAAGTTTTAGAAGAGTTAAGTGAAAAAGAATTTTATCAACAAAAATTAGAGTGGTTTTGGATGTCTAACAATGGATTAACCTGAGACTTGTTATGTCAGAAAAAATCTGGTCGCTAAGTTTAAAAAATGAAGTATAGGAAAAGTACTTTGCAAATTTGCTTTATTCATGGGAGAGTTAATAAGATCAGACCGATGTATGAAAGATAGAATGTTAGACTTGTCTTTGTTAGAGACGCTGTTAAAGATTTTACAAAAGTGTCTAGTACCTTCTTCCTAGAAATTTTGAGATAAAGTATAAGAACTAGTGATAAATGCTTTCTTTCTGAGAATAATAGTTGATTTTATCCCATGATAAATTGGTTCTCATGAGACTAATGTCTATCGTTTTTGGATAACACTACATTATTTTAGAACTTAATTCACTTTTTATAAAAGAAAATTAATAAAAATTTGTGCAACAAAGTTGTTTTTTCAAAATTAAATTAAAAATGAACTAGCGAATCGTTTCTAATTTATTTATTTAAGATTTATAATTAGATATTTATATTAACTGTTTTTTTCCTTAAAGTTAAAAAAAAAATTATTTTCAGATCAATTGGGATATTAATCTTAAGCATCATAAAATCTTTGTAGGATTTGATTATAATGACATTTTCATTTGATTATAATGGTATTTTCATTTTTATTTCATTATAATGACGTTTTCATTTAATTATAATGACACTTTCATTCAATATTTTGAATAAATCCTAATATTTTGAATAAATCCTATTTAAATATTTTCAGATTTCTTTTGGGTTAAAAAGTTGCTTTATTTTTTAGTGCTTTTGCTTTGAAGAACAACAGTTAAATCCGAGAGAAGAGGTTCTCACTTTTATTTTGTTTTGTTAAAAATTGATTGTTTTTTTAAGTCTTAGGTTAACAATAAATGTTTTTTTAGGTTGATATGCCGGTTTTTTTTTACATTGATCCTGAAATTGATGAAGACCCGCTGATGGAGAAAGTAAAAGAAATTATTCTATCATATACGTTTTTTGAATCAACTGGAAATATATCACTTCCTTCTCCTCATCATACAAGATAACTAATAATATTGAGGATGATTGAGAATATAGATAGAATACTGATTTAATTGTGGTATCACTAAAGTTTTGAAAGTATTATTGAAAGATTTGAACACGTTTTGAATACAATGTACAGATCGTTGCACTAAACTTAGTGCTGATTCGTCTTTGCAATAAATAGTTTTTAAGGATCTAAAACCATCTAATTAGAGTGTTAGGTTTCCTTGTGCGAGAAGCCCTTGTGTGTGTTTATATATATATATATATATATATATATATATATATATATATATATATATATATATATATATATATATATATATATATATATATATATATATATATATATATATATTTATATATATATATAGATATATATCTTAATTTATAAAATTTGATGTAGCTTGATTGGTTTTAAAATCAGCTATAAATAAGCCATGGAAACAGTATTTTAACTATGGTAATACCATTTTAGCTTTTGTAATTATAGAATGAGATTTCAAGTAAAAATATTTAAAATTTTTGTTGTTGCTTATTTTTTATTTTATTTGTAATAAAAGGGTTATCCCGCGCGAAGGAGAACACATTCTATTAATGAAATAATAGCTTTGTTCTAATTTTTGAGTAACACATTGACGCTTACAGGTTTGTTCCATGTTGATGTTTTTTAAATGATATTTTCAAATCTTTCTTTTTTTTCAAAATTTTTAATGTTTCTTCATAGTTTTTTGTTTTTTTTTAATTTTTCGTCTAATAATTACCCAGTGCTTTACAATAATATTTAATACTGGGCAGTTTAGAGAATTTGCTATTTTAGACAATGTTCAGGTCATTTTTATTATACCATCTAATAGTCAGTTCGTTATAATGATTTGATGATAAATCAGGCCAGAACACACGTCTACTATCATGTGATTTAGTAGGAGGGAAAAGACGTTTTTGTTAACACGCTTTAACATATATTCTACCAAAAAGTGTGGACTCAGAAATATAGGTGCTGATTTTTTGTCATACCTGTAAATAGCTTGCCAAACCAAAGTTTTTTTTTAAATTTTAGAAATATAGTTGTCATACAACTTTCTTTAGTGGGTTCTTGCTTTTTTTTTTTTTTTTTGATTTTCAAAAAAAAAAAAAAGCAAGAACCTACTAAATGAAACCTCCTTTCCTCCATTACCAGATTTGCATTTAATTGGTTTTGTTTAGGAAAAACTTTCAACAAAATGACTAACAATGTAGCAATGTATTTGCAATTTTTTTGCTACTGAATTGTAGTTAAATTGGAAAAAGATTACTACATCTGTTCAACAACATCCGTGGATGTTGAAATAACATCCGCACATTTTTGTGTAAGATCATCCGCTTTTTTTTCTTTACTGAATTAACATCTGTGCAACAACATCCGAAATTTCATTGATGCCTAATAACATCTTTAGAAAGATGTAACTACATCCGAAAGTTTTTCTCGATGTGTAACTCCATCCGCCTAAAATAATGCATTATTAAATAAAATAAATTTTCGGACGTAGATACATCCGAAAAAAATCAGATGCGTAACTACATCTGGTTGAAATTATGCATTCAAAAAAAAAAAAAAAATCGGATGTAGTTACATCCGAAAAATCTACAGATGTAGCTGCACGGATGTTATTATACATCAATGAAATTTCGGATGTTGCTTCACGGATGTTATTAAACATGGCAAAAACGGATGTTATTGCCCTGACCCACTAAATTCAGATTTTCCTTAAAATATGTGTGAAATATTTTTTTAACGTCTTCTTCCTTTGTCATTTTTAAAACTTATTTTAAGTTTATTGAGAAAACTAAAATCTTATAATATGAAAAATATATTAGTAGAGCAACTGAAAAAAAAATTACCAATTTACTTTTTCACATTTATTTCGTGTACACGCTATAGCTTGACCTCTTTAAATTTTTTTAAACTAAAACAGTGACATTACTGATAACGTTGTACTTGTGCTATCTTTCACAGGGTTTGTATCATATGTTTAATGTCAAAATAAAGCAAAATGTGCAATGTGTTTTATGCTTTCCATGCAGATACTTTCCCACAACCATTAAAACATAACGAATAAGGATAAAACATATAAAAAAATCGACGTTACCAATCAACATACCACGCGTTAGTAAAACAGTTTCCTTCATTTCGCTTATGTCAAAAAGAGTGCCCGTTACGTTTCGGAGAAGTTGTGTTTGATTAATGTTTATTTTGATAAAAAATATTATATTTACATTATATTTTTCCAGACCTTTTTTTGAGGATTAAGCAATATTTGATTTTAGTGTTAAAGATATGGGTGCGGTAAAGATAAAGATGAGGGTGCGGTTGTGCCTCACAATGGAGACAACCATTTTTTTCACTAGGTGTAATTTTTGTGTAATAACATTTTCAATAACCGTTTAATTTTTTTCTTATTTTCATTAATTTATTTATGTATATGTATATATATATATATATATATATATATATATATATATATATATATATATATATATATATATATATATATATATATATATATATATATATATATATATTATTTATAAATTTTAACATATAATATATGAGAGCCCGGGTCTGACGTCTGCCCAAGCACCAAATTTCCAGTGGCGGGTTTTAGGTAGTGGGGGTAGTAGTCCCCCCCTCCTTTGGACTTGGGACTCCTTAGGAAATTTTTTTTTTGTAAATTAACTATTACACAGAATTGGACTATTATACTGACGAATGAAATTGACTGTTATACGTAATTATTCGTATATGAACTTGATTATTACACTAAAGTACAAAAAATTAAAAATATCATATTTATAATATAAATAATGATTTTTTTTTAAGAAATTGCTTTTATTAGATAAACTATTTATGTTTTAGAAGAAAGTAATTTTAATTCACTTAAAGGCATGAGCATTTTTCAAGCATCAGTTATTTTACATAACTCACATAAACTTTTATGTATTTAATGCTAACTCAGTTTAAAACTCTTTTTTTTTTTTTGTTTTTTAAAAAGTTTTTTTTCTTACAATTTCGTTTATTATTCATATTTTAGCTTAAAAAAAATCAAAATCCAAAATATTCAAGATTTTTTTTTTTTTACCATGGATTTTGGTTTTTTCACCTTTCATAACCTAAGTTGAAATTTTTTCTTTTTTACATGTAATACATACGTTTTAATGCAAAGCATCAACAAATGAGTGATTGCAAAGTTGAAACATCTGATCGCAAAACTTTTTTTCGTAACCAATATTTTTTAATGGCAAATGTGATGATAAATTATTTCACTATTTTGATGTCGATCATTTAGGAAGAACTTATTTGTAAAGTATTGATTATTGTTAAAGAAGTAACTTTATCATCCGTTAAGAATTTAAAAATATATTGTAAATTTAGATAATTAAAGAATTAAAGATGATAATGATCAGATAATTAATTCAAAAGAGGTTTATTTAAAAAAAAAGTTTTTAAAATCTAATAAAATTTCAGTGAAAAAAATAAAATGCCCTTTTCTTTATTTTTTTTACAATATTTGTTACCGTTTTTTTAACTTATTTTGAATTTTTTCTAACTTATTTTAGTAATCTTAATAGCTCTATTTTAAAGGAACTAGGGTGTTCCAGGAGTCCTTAAAATGCATATAATTTTGCGCATTTTTGATTTGCTATTTATTTTTTCGGTTAAAATGGCTGGAGCAATAAGAAGGCCACTTTTAATTATCATTAAGCTCGTAGACTTTATATTGTCTGACTTTGGTGTGTGATGTTTGGTAAGTAAGGCGAAAAAACATAGTTTTAATATTCGTGCCAAAAATATCTGAATTACACAATTTTAACAACGGAGATCCTAAAATGCTTTGGAAAAAAAAGTTAAAATAAAATTCTTTTTTTAATAATTTTTTTTGAAAATAAATTAAAATCTTTTTTTTTAATTACATAAAAATCTTGACTTAAACTGTTTAGTTTTGATCAACAACTAAAAAATAAATATAAACACGCTAAATTTACGTTAGATTTTTTAATTGATTTTCTCTACGATGAAACAAAAGACTCATGAACATATTTGTTCTGGTAGATAGAAAGCGAGAAATGCTATAATCAAGCTTGGTTTAAAACGCTTGAAAAATTTTTTTAAATAAGTTAAATTAAGTTTACCGCTAAAGTTTTTTTTTTAATTTAGTTATGATATTTTATACCACGGTTTTATAAATACGTTGAACGAATTATACAATAAATATTATAACGTGTTATATTGTATATTTGTATGATATAAAATGTATAAAAATTTTTTTATGAGTTTACTGTAATATATCACGGTTATATTGTATCGTCACTAAATTTACTGAAAAAGTATTGCGTAATACTCATTTAAATTTTTTTTATATGTATATATAATTGAAACTTTTAAAATCAAATATATTAAAATTATTTTTAAACTGCTCTAGTGTAGTTTTGTTTGCCCGTAGGATTTATTTTTAATATTTTTGATATTCACTTTCAGGCATTGTGCAAACTCAATACTTAAGTATGTTCATGTCTATATCAAATACGGAATGTTTTGCAAAAAAACGCGGTGATAGAAACCTCAGTGCCGTCCCGAGGGTTGTGGGGCAATATTGGATCAATATTTGACATTTAGCTAACGAGGTTAACACTTGTATTATTTAAAGATCGATGAAATATTTTTTCTAGGCCTTAGTCGGCAAAAAACAGATACGCCCCTCCCCCCCTTAAGATTTTTTCGGAACGGCCCTGAAAAGCCTGAGAACAAAAATACTTTAAAACCCTATCCCATTTACCCAAACGTGAGTGGAGTGAGTTAGTATAGTTTTAAACTTGATTTCGTTAGATATACTAAATTTAATTCATCATCAGGTTATAAATTTCGTTCAAAAATCTTTTAATGTTCAAAAGTTATGACCACGAAAAATTTAAAAACCCCTCATTGTTGGAGGGGTTAGAAATTAAGACGAGTTTCCACTCATCCGTTTTTTTACGGGAATGGGATGGGAAAAATAATCACGTGGGCATGCGTAGTATAACTTTATATAATATGTCCGAAGGAAATATTATACATAATATGTCCATATAATATGTCCGAAGGAAAACTACGCATGCTCACGTGATTATTTTTTCTTTCCTATCCCGTTCCCGTGAAAAAACGGATGAGTGGAAACTCACCTTTATACATGCTCAACAAATTACATAACTCAAACTTTCACATTAAACAAAACAAAAAAGATCAAAAGTTTTCTCTCGCAGAGTCTAAATTTTAATGTAAAATCAAAATACCCCATTAAGTCGCCGCGTAAAAGAGCTCAATATCGATATTGAGTATCGAGATTAAGTAGGAGATATATCGAGATTAAGTAGGAGATATATCTCCTACTTCCGTTTTTTAAATAAATTTTGCGTTGCGTAATTTATGGACGATCCCTAAGGCATGGTACACGTTTTTCTGAACAAAAGTATAAGTTTTTTCAATTACAATATATGTAAGTTTTTTCATCAAAAAGTATTGACATATTTGGTATGTATGGAAAGATTATTTTAACCACTATTATAACCTGGTAAAAGTAATGCGACTATAACAAATCGTCAAGCGTAGTTTTATTTAGAAAAGATGCTTTTTTAACATAAAGTACCTTGGGTTATAGGCTTGGCTATAGATAAGTCTATGGATTTGATTTTTTCATAAAAGTATGTATTGGTGTTTTTAATGAATGTAACTTGACATTTCTACTCAGACATTATTTGCGAAAACTATCCATGAAAAATCATTTTTTTATAAAAACTGAAGTTATTATATTCAATACCACACCTAAACGAGTATGCTTAACAATAATGTCACGTTAGATTCAAATAACCTATGATAGTGTTAATTTTTCTACAAAAGTTGTTTTTGCATAAATAATTATACCGTTTAAAAAACTGTTTTCGGTATTTAGTATCATTTTTTGAAAAATATTATTATTCGGCCCTCTTGAAATAATTATTTATTCCATTCAGAAGGGGTAAACAAAAAAAAAACAGAGGCGGTAAACTTTATAAACAAACTACTTTTATTTTCAAACTCGTTTCGTTTTTATATCAGAAGTAAACTTAAATTGACATTTGGTTTCTTTTATCTTTATAACAATAATTTAAATGTAGCATAAGTTACTTTTAAGTTATTGTTATAAAAACAGTTATATCTTTGAACACTAAGTCGATATTATGTTCAGTTATGTATTAAGATAAATACTTTTTGCTGTTAGCAAAGCGCAAAATGAAATATATAATATATAATTTTTAAAAAATGTAATGAGGTTCATAAATTATGTCAAACAAACACTTCAAGATATCTTTATAATTAAATTGATATACCTCCTGCAAAACTGTTATAACGGACGCTTCGGTTGTTTATAATATTTTGCCATTATTTACGAATTCTTTGTTTGTATAAATTAAATACCAATAAATTAAAAGTTTTTCGGTTTGCTACTAACAACCAATCGGATTTGTTTTAAATTATCGGTTGTTTTTTTTTACGAGTCTATGCCTTTGTTTCATCAAAGACGTAAATACGTCCTTGGTTGCCATCGAATGTTAAAAATTTTTAAAATAAAATTTAAAACCGGCTGTTTTTTTCAAACATGATTACGCTTATTTCTAAACTTCAGTCAACATAAGCTTTTTAGCATTATTCTTATAGTTTTAAATTAAAATTAGAGAACCTAACTTTAATTTTAAAATTAATGTCTATTCTACGACTTTAAACCTTTGTCTATACGACTATAAATTGTCTACGATCTTTGACCTACGTATACGACGTAACAAACTTTAAATATGGTCTGTTGCGAAAGACTCCCTTTTTTCTCGGTATCTCTCGTACCCACTCAATTAGTCATATCCGTTTATCCATGGAAAGTGAAAGATCTCATATACTAAATTTAAATTTTCTTCTTTTTAAATTTAAATAGTCTTCTTTAATAATCTTATTTTAGATACATAATATGACTACCAGAATTTAAAAGAGTTCTTATTTAATCTCGAATGTTACTTTTGTTTGTTTGTTTGTTAGTGAAGTTATATTGATTACAAGTAAATAATAAATTGTATTAAATCTTGCAATTAAAGCAAGAAAATGTTTATTTTTTAATCAGTCTTATATTGGATTATATTTTACTTTTTTTTTAAACGTAAAATTATAAGTGTTACTTAAAATAAAGATATCATTTAAATTTAATAATTTTGATAAATAATAGAGTGACAGTAGTTTAATTAAGACAATTAAAAAACTAGACTTAAATTATGCTCAACTCAGATAATTCAACTCAAAGTTGGGATATAATTGTTATGCTGCAAAACATTGCTTAACTAATTTATTATAGTTCAACATTATCGTAATTTAATGTATTTGTTTTTGATTTCATTGATTATAGTTTTATTAATCAAAATGTGCTATTTTTAACAAAATAATGTATAACATTTTAAATTATAAAATAAGTTTTTTATTATTTATGAAGTTAGTAAATTGTATTTGAATATATTTTATTTTCCTAATGTTTTGCTCCTTATTTTTAAACTACATTAAAGTACAGAAAAAATGACAACAACAGAAACCTATAAATTGCAGTTGTTAAATCTTAGGAATACATTAGGCAATGAAAAATGTGCAGACTGTGGTACATCAGGTAAAAAAATTTAATTTAGCTTTTCAAAATACTTTTTTATTTATATCAAAAACAAAAAATAACATGTTAGTTTTTAAAAGTAGTGTGTTAAATATAAATTTGTATTTAAGGTAAATTGTTCATGAAATATATACACAAAAGTGTGCATTCAACCAAATTTGTATATTTAGATCCACCTTCAGATTTTGTGTCAGTTAATATTGGAATTTTTCTTTGTATAAACTGTGCTGGAAAACATAGAGCAATGGGTGAAAATTATTCAATAGTTCGTTCAATTCATTTGGATAGTTTTGATGAAAAAAAGTATGAAGTATGTAGCTTTTCCTAGATAATAATCAAAAAAAGAATTTTTTTTTTTATTCAAAATTTTAATTTTTTTGATTTGTGTGTTTTATAAAATATTTTGATATTTTTGTGTAAAATTATCAAAATATTTTATAAAACATATTATTTATTTCTTGCAATAAGAATTGAAGATTATATTTATAAGCCAAAATAGATATAAATTTATTTTGACTATATTAAAAAAATTTACTGATGTCTGAGTGAAAACTAAGTTTAGTATTATTAATTTTAGTTTTTTTTATCAATTAAGCAATTGATTAAATATACCTTGTGTGTAAAAGCTAGGCGCTACTGCAGTTTCTCCCCCTCCTCCCTTTTTTTTTTATTGCTGATTTTATGATAGAGAATTTTATGCTTATTAAAAATCGTATAAAAACATAGGTCCGAAAATCAACAGAAAGTGCTCTAATTGGGTGTTGAAGTTTAAAAAATTACATTAAAAAACATTAATATCTGCAATTTTTTTTCATACTCGATTATAATTAAAATCTTTTTCAAAGATGAATTTAAAAAAGCCTGCTTTTTATCAACAATTTAAAGAAAAATGCTGAGTGTATCATTTTCTGATTTATCTCTGGCCCAAACCTTAAGCCTTTCCCGAATCATGTACATTTAATCGTGCCAGTTCCTATTTGTCAGTCGATGTTTGTGCATTTAAAAAGCAATATCTTAAATTACTTTTAAAAAGTTAATTAAAAATATATAAAATATATTCATAGAAACATTTAATTTAATTTGATTATAACTTTGAAGACATTAAAAGTGGGTTGCGTAATTAAAAAAAGATTTTCTAAAAAATGATTTCAAAATGTAAACTTTGATGTAAAGCGTTTTAGCAAAATGGTGAATATTAGTATTTTTTAGTGTAATTTTTTAAACTTCAACACAAAATTAGAGCATTTTCTGTTGATTTTCAGACCTATGTTTTTATACAATTCTTAATCAGCATAAAATTCTCTATCATATTCAGCAATAAAAAAAAGGAGGGTGAAGAAACTGCAGGAGCGCCTAAAAGCTATATATAAATAAAAAAAAGTATAAAGACCTGAATAAATTTTGTTATGAAATTTGGAGATATATAAAATGCTGGAGGTCCATTAAAGGTACATATAAAGAACAGTTTACATTAATGTTCAAAATAATTTTTTCTTGATTCTTTTTTTTTTTCCATAATAAATGATATTGAATTGTCTTTAATTGATATATTGATGTGCATCATTTTCTGTTCATCTTTTTTTTTTTAAACATCTTGACTTCCAACAAGGCTGCAAGCAACCACTAATTAGTGTTGGAAGTTACTGGAAGATAACAATTGACAGACAACTTAAGAGATTGCAAATTATATGAATCAGGAAAGCAAGATAAAGGAAGCGAATTCCAAAGAACTGATGTTTCAGGAAAAAAACTAGACGAAAAAGAGTTTTTGGAGCACTTCGGAACAGAGAAAAGGCATCATTAGAAGATCCGCCCCAGATATGGCAACAGTATTCCATACAATGTTGGATTTGAGATTTATAGAGATAGAGAATAGAATCCAGAGTAAGAAAGTGTCAAGCTCGATAAAGAGATGCAACTTTAGCAGATGCTAATTTTTCAACGGATTCAATATATGGTTTCCAAGAAAGATCAGAAGTAAGAGTTAATCCTAGAAGATGAAGGGTAGATGACTCATCAAGTACATTACTGTTCATAAATATAGGGAGATCTAAATTATTGCGATAACGATTGGCTGAAAAAGAGTTTTATCTGAATTAAAATTCATCAGCCACTGTGAGCCCCTTGAAAAGAATCTCACTTCTGCTGTAGCGGAAGTAAGATCCTTGTCAAACTCAAATGCTCCCTCCAAGCAATCAGAGAGAGTTGGCTTCTTATCATGACAAGAATAAATGGTATCATCAGCGAACTATGCCACCTTAGATGTGAGAATATCTGGAAGATTGTTAATGTATATCAAAAAGAGTATAGGGTCAAGGATTAAACTTTAAGGAACCCCTGAGGCTGCAGGATAAAAAGAAGAGTGCTGTCCATCAAGGAAAACTTTTATGCTACAATTGGAAAGGAAGGATTCAATAATCTTAAAGATGTTTCCAGATACACTATAAGAAGAAAGTTTATAAAGAAGACCACCATGCCAAACTTTATCAAATGCTTTAGAAATGTCAAGAGGGACGGCCTTACCCTCTCCTTCTTTACCTAATGCATGATAAAACCTATCGGTTATTACTGTTAGCAAATCAACCGTAGAACAAGAAGATCGAAGCCCATATTGATGATCAGAAAGTAAATTATTAGATTCAAGATAAGGGATTAAGTTTTTGTTAATTAAAGATTCATAAACCTTGCTTATGATAAGAAGCAGACTAATGGAACGGTAGTTAAACAAATCTGATCGCTCTCCAGAATTTTTAAAAATAGGGATAACAGAGGCTGCTTTCCAGCAAGCTGGAAAACAAGACTCTGATAAGCACTTGTTGAATAGTTTTAAAAGGATAGATGACAGCTCCGGAGAACACTTCTGCAAGACTAACAGTCTAACAGGTATGTTGTCCAGACCACAAGCTGTAGAAGAGTCTAAGCAGGAAATCACTTTAGATACAGAAGCTGGAGTGATACAAATATCAAGCAATGGATCAACCTGTTTGACAGCTATATCAGGTAGAACGCAACTAGTGGAATCAAGAGATGGTATTGATGAAAAGTTCTTAGCAAACAGTTCAGCTTTGTCTTAAGGTGAGGTGACAAAGTCTGACCCATACAAAAGAGGTGGAATTACAGACTTACCCTCATTATTGATACTATTAAAGATTCTCCAGAAGTTTCGAGAGCCTAATTTTAGTGATGAAATACGAGATTTCATGACCTCAGAATAGCAGTCTTAGGCATTAGTTAAAACCTTTTTACAATGGTTCCTAGCAGTAATAAACAGGCGTCTGTTTTCTAGAGAATTGTTTTGCTGATAGATATGGAAGTAATGGTTCCAATTGGCAATTGCAGCAACACAATGTGAGAAGAACCATGGGGAGGAGTGAGGCTTGACCTCTATGCCAGTCTAAATCCGCAAAGTTATGTTAGATGCACATTTGTCAACAGGAAGACAAAAGATTTCTAACCAAGGGCTATTACAAAGAAAATCACGGGAAGAGTCCCAGTCAGCTTTAAAGTAATTGTAAGATGTACAATGATAAGGGGAATCTGATGGTAAAGAAGAATGAGATAATAGTTTTAAAGAGATCAAATTATGTTCAGAGGTACCTAGGATTATTACTCGACTTATGTCTTGTTTCTGACTAGGATCAGAAACAAGACATAAGTCGAGTAATAAAGGTAAATGATTCGGGTTTTCTGGAAAGTGAGTTGGAAAGTTGACTATTTAAGGGATTGAGAAAGGCAAAAATTGTGGGCTTTAATGCCTGCAGAGTCACTGACACTAGAGCCAAGCCATTCTGTTTGATGAACATTAAAGTCACTGACAACAACAATGTTGGCTGATGTATAAAGAGAAAGGGCTTGGTCAATATGATCAGAAATAACATCAAGAAGAGTGCAGTCTTGAGATGAAGGAGAGCGATATAGAACAAAGAGAAAGGTGATAGAGTGAAGTGGTGCACATATGAAAGCACATAAAAGAGTAGTCTGTGGATTCAAACCTAATTTCTCAACAAATGGGTGAATTCTTACGAATGTAAATGTCCAGGCCAAGCATGTGACTATTGGAGTCTTTATGAATTAAAGGAAGATAACCATCAACACTAAGATCACAAGATGAGACAGCTGAACTTAAATTAATTTCACAAAGAGCAAGTAGGTCTGGTGAGTTTTGTAAGAGATAAAACTCAACAGAAAAAAAGTTACTTTGAAGACCACAAATATTAGTGAATGATAGGTTTAGCAAACTTGGTGATGACAATGGTTTTTTGTGTTTTATAGTTTTTGTTACTTTATTCATTTTCAAATTTGTTAAAGAACTTGACTTAAAACATAGATAGTACTCAGTGCACTACCCAAGCAATTGCCTTATTACTATTAATAAACCATAAGTCTTAACAAAGGGTTTCAATGTGGCCTTGGCAATGCACACCAAAAGTACAAACAGGGACACCATCCATGCGCAACATGGCACTGTTAATACTTTGATATTTTCCAGCTGTTGATGGAATCAGCCTCTCTGAGAGCTACCACAGAGTTCAGGAAACCTGACTACCAGCCTGCCTCAGAACCATAAAACTGAGTTTTAGAGCTGTACCCTCATTTGGAGATAATAGAATGAGTTGCCTAGTCATAAAAACAGAGATACAAGCAAATTATGCCAGCCTCATTTTTCTTAATTCTGAGAGCTGTGTCTGTCAATCATTTAATAAGTAAAAGACATGCTTCTTTTTATAACAGTTACAATTATGTGTTCGTTTGGAAAGTTTTATATAGTTTGTGATTAATAGAAAAATGTAGGTCAATTTCTTATATTTGTGATGATATTTTCACTAAAAGAAGTGTTGTATCAAATTATTATGTGTTTACAATGTTCTTTTGCTTTTTTTTTAATTTTTTAAAATTTTCTTTGTCAAATTTGTCACAAAATATATGAAAATTCCACTCTATCGAAAGTAGGGGTTTAAGTTATGAAAAAAAATTACTTAAGTAATTTTAAGTAACTTTTTTCAAATTACTTAAGTAGCTTAAGTAATTTTAAGTAACTTTAGTTATTTTCCAAAATATGAAAAATTACATCTAATATTACATTTTTTGCATGACATAGTAATATATAGCAGGCCTTGTTAAGAAATGTTACGCTGCTCACATTTTCTGTGTGAAAAGGCGATTTGCCTACGCATTCAGCAATTTTACATTACGCCAAAACTTTTGATAATTTAAATATTCCAAAAGATAAGTTTTGGCGTAATGTAAAATTACGCTTGTGTGATGTTCAGAAGATATTTGGTCGTAAATAAAAGCATTTAACCGCAATTG